GCACAGGGAGGAGCGGGCCCTGGCTGCCTGTCGGTGGCCGCAGCAGGGCGAGGGGCCCGCCAACGGCACTGCGCTGCCCGGCTTCACCGGCCTCAGGCGGGCAGACCCGGCCCTGGCTACCAGCCCCAGTGCAGCTGCAGCCCCGACCTCCCCCAGGCCACTAGACGAGGAGAACAGGCTGGCAGAAACGCAGTTTATTCAGCTGAAGGACAGCAAGCAAGGGAAGCACTCTTCATCTTTGCCTCTTTTTTCCTCGGGGCAGGACTAATCTGTCCCTCCTCACCCCATAGCCTCAGATTCGCCCACCCTTGTCCAGCCACAGCCCTGCAGCCTCCCCAGAGCACCTGGGCACCGATGCACCAGGCTGGGAAGCAGCAGAGTCACTGCGTGGCTGGAGCAGCAGTGGGGGGCAGGAGGACAGATGCTCTCTGGGACAAGGGATAAAAGCAGGCACAGTCTCACAGGGAACGGCTGCTGGTCTGTGCTATCCCAGCAGGATCTGGAGGTGTCTTCCAGCCTGCAAGCACACCTTCCAGCCTAAGGCTTGGAGAGAGGAGACACGGGTCAGTGCCAGAGTGCAGATACTTGGCAAGGGATCCTTCACTGCAGGGAGATGCTCTGTTTCCAGCTGCACCATGCCCTCCACCTGCACAAAAGCTTGGTAGAAGTGTCTCCTCTTCCATCCAAGTGCCTCTGCAGCACCAGAGGCTGCCTGAGCTGCAATCCCCACTGTGAATGGGGACACTGCGGTTGCTACAGGCCTACACAGCCAGGGCTTCTAGTCCCGTTGCTTGCTCTGATCCGTATCTGCAGTCTCCTCCGTTTCTGTGCCTGGGCACAAATGCTGCCAATGGCTGGCCCCGCTCTGGGGCCATGGGCAGCAGGACTGTGGGCAGCAGGGCCACAGCAGTGCCAGCAGTCAGCAAGCTTGGGAAGCAGCAAGAGGCCCACGTGCAAAGTATCTCTGTTCACACTGGGTACCCACCCACAACGCTCACTGCAGGAAGCATGTGGAGGGAGGCTGAGGACAGCTTCAGCATTATCAGAGGCTCAGCGAGGATGGGTCGACTTTGCAAAGCAACAGCCGGTGCAGCTCAGGCTTCACCAAGAATAGGCAGCAAACATTTCATACAGACAGACGATGTGTTGATCCCCAGAACTGAATCAGATCGGATCCACCTACTAGATCCACCTACGAGGCATCAGTCCACCCACAGAGCCAGGACTGCTTTACAGAGGCCTTGTCTCAGGCTCATTCCATGCTGTACAGCTAGGAACAGCATCTGCTGCATGATATTTAGTCTCAAGCCTTTCCTGGACAGAGGTGAATGCCACAGATGGCCTGTTGGTTTGGTTTTTTTCAAAAGCACTTTCATTTTTGCCTCATACTCTAGGATGGGGAAAGCCTCAGGACCAAGGCAGGTTCTGGATGCATACTGGATATAGCCTTGAGCCTTCATGTCTTTCACCTCTCTCATTTGTTCCCACTAGTAACAACTGCTATTTTATGCATAGCACCCTCATTTTCAGATTAGGGTATGTTTTTAGCTAAGAAACCTCTTCTAAGGGGAATTTTTTTGCCATGTGGATTAAATGGACATGATTTTATGAGAAGCAGTTAAGTATCATCACAGCCTCTGGCAGGAGTCTGGCCACAGCTGCAGTGTGGCAGGGACCCTTGCAGTCCCAAATCCAGCCCTACAGCCTGGGTGGGACAAAGCAGCCCTCCCACATGGGGCTTTCCCTGACTCCAAGACAGCCGTTCCTCTCGCTCCTTTGCCACAGCTCAGCATTTGGCCAGTTACTCATTAACTCACTTTATAGCCCAAGCCAAACAGTGACAGCACAGCCCCTGCTGCCCTGCAGCTCTGCCAGGCATGCAGCGCCTGGGGCTGATCCACGCTCACCGTGCCAGCTCCCGTGCAGATACAGCTCCTGCTGAGGAACAGCAGAAGCCCTTTCTGTGTCTCTGGTGCCACAGCTGAGACTCCAGGCCCATACCCCTCGCCTCTGCCTCGAGTGGACACAACCCAGAGCAGAGGCAACAGTTTTGGGGGATGGCCCAGGCTGCAGCTGCAGGATGGTGAATTCGGTTTAGGAAAGGCAGTGACTGGGAGTAATTGTGGTCCAGAACAGATTTTGGACATGAACACACCTCCCAGCCTCTGCTGCCTGGGACAAGAGCCAAAGGCAACTGAGCCATGGCTGTGTGAGCAGCCCTGTCCTGGGTACCTGGGGCTCATCACCCAGAGAGCTGGCACTGCAGGCAGAGGGGAGGGCAGGTGGATCCCAGGTCTGGGCAGGGGGAGTCAGGCAGCAATGGGTGAAGGAACTTAGCCTGTGGAGTGAGTGCCAAGGGCTTTGTCCCAGAAGACACAAGGCTGCTCTTGCTGAGGCTCTCCAGGCAAAATCTAAGGTGTGGCATGCACTTGCAATTTGGGGTACCTGGGGCTAGCACAAAACAGGCTGTGCTCTGTGGGCAGGCTGGAATTTGGCCATGCTGATATCTGGGAATTAACATCTGGATTGGTCCCACCCTGTCTGTGATCTCCACAGCTGGTGAGCCACAAGTTCATGGTCACAATGCAGGAGATGAGCTGGAAAGCTGGTGACAGCCGCTCCTTACCGTGTCAGTCCTGGAGCCGCAGGCAGGACACAGTGGGGAGAGATTTGGTGCCTCTGCCAGGGAAGCGGCGGCCCAGGTGAAGGAGGACTCTCCTCTTCACACCTGCAGTCAGCTGGGAGAGCTGCAGCCGCACGTCCTTCTGCCAGTAGGAGTAGAGCAGGGGGTTCAGGAGGGAGTTGCATAGTCCCAGCAGCCAGAGGTAGTTCTCAATGACTTTGTAGGGGAAGCACTCAGGACAGACAGTTTGCACAATGCTGGCGATGAAGAAAGGCAACCAGGACAATGTGAAACACCCAATGAGCACGGCAACGGTGCGCATGGCCTTCATGTCACTGGTGGTGTGGGATGGGGGGCAGCCCCCCGCCAGTACAGCGTGCTCCACTTCCTGGATATGCTGCACATGCACAGAGGCAATTTTCAGCATGTCACAGTAGAGATAAATGAAGAGAAAGAGCGCTGGGAAGAAGCCGACGCAGAAGACTGTCAGCATGTAGGTGGGGTGGAAGACCCCAAAGAAGGAACACTTCCCATGCGTGGAGACCTTCTGAAAACACGGGGTGAGGACAGGGAGGAAGCCAATGATGGCAGCAACCAGCCAGAGCCCCATCAAGCGCACCCCGACCCGCAGGCCTGTCACCAGCTGGAAATAGTGGAAAGGCTTCCTGATTGCCAGGTGTCTGTCACACGCAACCAGAATCAGGGATAGGATAGAGGCAGCAGAAGAGGAGGTCACAAAAGCCATTCTCAGGATGCAGAAGATCTGGGGAGGATAAAACGGCTCAGAAAACTCATCCACGACCAGACCCACAACCGTGAAGCCAACCACGGTGTCTGCAATGGCAAGATTAAGGACAAAATAGAGCCCCTTGGAGCCGCTCTTTTGGATGAGGCAAAGGAGAGCGATGGCCACCAGCACATTGGCAGTGATGATGAGCGAGGCCAGCACAGCGAGGATGACTCCCAGGGCTGAGCTAGCCATGGCTGTCCCCTGTGTGGCACAGCTCAAGGAGGGCACGTCTCCAACGCGATTCTACGGCATCCCTCACCTGGGGCTTCTCGGCACGTCCAGCTCAGCAGCCAGGCAGCAGCACGAGTGCAGCCCCTCGCTCTTTGGGTGGTGCAGCAAAAGCCCTGGGTGCAGCGGTGTCTCTCAGGCTGGGGAGCAGAGCTCTGACAAACAGCTGCCTGCCAGAAGGGACTGGTGCACTCACAGCACCCGCTGTGCCCACAGAGGTCCCTCCCCTCCAGCCACGTTTCCAGACAACCCTGGAGCAGGGCGGAGAGCAGCGAGCACCTGGGCAGGAAGCTGCCACGATGGCACACGGGGTGGTGGATGTCCCTCAGCCAAGCACCAAGGACCCAAGCAGAGCCAGCGTCCTGCTTCAACACAGGTGCTGGCAACAGGGAACAAGCAAAGGGAGTTCCCAACACCCAGCTCCACTGGTACGTGCAGGCAGCACAGTTTGTGGGGCTCCTGCACAGTCACTGCAAGACCCAGAGCAGCCTCTTCCTGAAGGGACCAAGGGAACAACACTGCTCCCTTGTCGGAGCAGCAGCCATAAAGGCAACAATCTCTGCACAGTCCCTCAGACCCGCCAGGGATGTGTGGCTGACTCCAGGCTCCATGGCGTACATCTCCAAAAAGAGACTTCATCCGTTATCGATTGACCTCACTCCTGGAAACAGTTTAATGAACTGGACCATAATAGTTTGAATGAAATATACATACTCGCTACTAATACTAAAAAAAATATATATATATATATACACACACACACTTGCTTTACTAATCATAAGTGTATTTAAGTTACTAATAGTAACTTGTAACAAAGAATTTACAGAAACAAAGCCTCTGCATCCTTGTGTATTACAGAATCATAGGAATGCACTGTTACGTCCTTTACGCTCCTGTGGGGTGGGTAACCCTCACAGGCTGTGACCACAACTGCTCCATCCCTTTAAACAAAGTGCCATAAGCCACCTCTCCTGCCTTGTGAGCCAGAAAAATCTGGGCTGCCAGGAAACAGGGCAGGTTCAAGCCCTCCTCTGTCAAACAGTAACCTGAGAAGTGCAGGCAGATGGGGAGAGGCTGAGAGCAGGGCCCAGGGCAGGATGTGGCCAAGGGGCAAGACATGGGCACTGCAGTGGGGAGGAAAGATATAGCAGAAGAATTGTGGCCACTATAGAAGGAGCTGTGGAGAGGGGAAGCCCCTTGGGAATACCCTGGGTCTGCACCACTGGTGGCCATAGTAAAGGCTCCGGTGGCCTGACACCTCCTCCTATTTTGTTTGCCATGGGAGACATTTGGGGAGTCTTAGCCCTGACAGGGGAGAGGGTCCAAATGCCACAGCATGAGATCAGGGTGGAGGGAAAGTTAGACAGACAGAAGTGGCAGGACAGCTGCGGAGAAAGCACAAAACCAAAGTCGAGCCAGTGCCTCCCCATGAGTACACGTTTGCCCAGTCCCACACATAACACTGCAGCAGCTCAGTGTGACAGGGCAGTCCTGCTCTGCAGGGGCTCCTCCATCCCACCTCACCAGGACAGAACAGGTATTTTCACAGGAGCATCACTCAGCAGCAGCAATGTCCAAGCTGTGAGACCTCAGCTGGTTCAGCAACCATCACTGGCAGAGATTCCTCCTTCCTGCTGTGCCACTTTGTATTTCTCTTTTCACCATGCCCCTCTGCAGCTCAGCACTTCCCACTTTCCCTGTTACAACCCTGACCACCTCAAATCATGATCTTTACTGGATCCCAACAGGCATTTTCTCTTTATCCTGCACCAGTCTAGACAGTTTTCATAAAGGACAATCAAAAGCCTTTTGGAAACCAGACTAGATTAACTCCAGCATCCTGGTCCACACACTTGCCAACTCTTTCCAAAACCTCCCAGCAGGTAGGAAATCTGGATTCCTCCTCTTCCTCATCCATCAGCCATTGGCCCCTCCAGCACACCAGTCATTTATGTCTCAAGTCTCTTTAGAGTTTCTACCAGTGTGGCAAAGACACCATGGTCACTGGCTCGTAGTTCTCTGAAAACAAGCCTTCTTTCAAATCCCGTCCACACTTCTGACACTTCCCTAACGTGAGAACTTTAAATGAGAGGCTACAAGAAAGAGCTCTGGACTTTCCATCCTGAGTCCCCTGACAATCTGGGGTGCAGGCCCAGCCCACTGCTCATGTTCATTGAACACCCTGTCCTACCACTTCTGCCAACGTTTTGGCTTGAGACCTACCCCAAAGCCTCCCCCCATCAGAAGTCTGCAACAGAGAAAGCCCTCTGAGCTCTTCCAAGCAAAACCTTCAGCTTGTCTACTACAGTCTTCACTTTTGAGAGGTCCTTTCATTCCTTGATTGCCCACCAGCCCCAAGGACTCCCTGGAAGGCTTCTCCCTCCTATCTGAAAGAGGACATGCCCTCAGATATGGGGCTTTACCTTGGTAAGTGAACGCCTGTGGTCCCTCCTTCTGGCATTGACTAGGTTTACTGTCATTTTTATATTTAATGTATAGGGGACCTTGCATATTTCTACTTTCTACATTTGGGTAGGACTTCTGCCTGTTTTCCAGGGTGCCTTGAATACTACCTCCATGTCAGCATTAAACCACCTGGACCTTTCCGTGGGTGCATGGGGATGGTCCCTTTCAGTGCCCATCTTTGATAGGATATATCTTTACCCTATATACTCAGACTCCAACACTCATACCTACACCATCTTCACAGTGCTTGCAATCATTTTTCAACCACCAAGGTAGCAAAATGTTAATGGCTTCGGAGCATGAACACAGCCAATCCCACTGACTGCAAGGGCAGCACTGGCTGCAGCAGCTCAGGTACTGCTGCCTCCTGGGGTGGTAGCAGGATTTGCATCAACACATGACAGACATAACTAAGTGCACAGACTGCCCAGCTACAATCTCACATGTTACTTGGCATAGCACAGAAAAGGTTAGAAACATGTGAGCTTAAGCACATAAGACAAATAGATGTTTAGGAAGCACTTCTAGGAAGGACATCCTGAGGCAATGAACCTCCTTAGAAAATGCTGGATCTCCAGCAGCGCTACCCTCACACAAGTGGTTACAATGCCATTTACAGGTTGAGATTTTTGTGTTTATAACACCTAGCAAAATACTACCCTACCAACTGAGAAACCCAAAGCTACTTGGCTCCTCCCAGTCTGCTGCAAAGGCAAGATGCTTTCGGAATGAAGGGCTTTACAACCACCTTCAGGAAACACCTGGCATGGTGCTGAGGTGTGCTCAGAGCCAGCGTCACCTCACCGTCACATCCGCCGAGATCGCCACCTCTGTACATTTACCTCCAGTTACTATTGACAAAGTGAGGCAGAGTGACATGTGGTGACATTTATGACAGCCAGTGCAATCAAAGCTCAGATAAGGGATGTCTCCAGGGGAGGGGGTCAGGCAAGTGGAAGGCCTATCTCCAAAGTCACCCAGGGGAGGAAGAAGAGTGGAAATAAGAGCCTCCTGCCAGCACCTTACAGCTGAGAAACGCAAACAGCCAAGTGGCCATGGGGATACTCTTTGGGCATTGCTGAACTGCTCCTTGTAGCAGCCTGAAGAACACAGGCAGGATAGCAACTGCAAACACCAAGGAACTATCACAGGATCAGTCCAAAAATTAACAGCTGCATAGGAGAAATGGCACCAGTTACAAAAATGCTGAAGAAAACCAAAAGAATGTAATGAACTGCTGTTAAAATACATCTCTCAGTATTCATCACCACATAAGTATTTATTTATTTTATAATATTTAGAAATCTTCTTCAAGAGTAAAGCCAGGTGAGGCATATGAACCTTGTCTCCTTTCAATCCATTGGACCCCATTTCCAATAGCCTCTAAGTAGTTTAACTCTGAAAATGATCCTCCCACCCTACCGAGGTGTGGCCTCACAGTAATACTTTTCTTCAAGTTCAAGAGCTTATTGGAGTCACCTTCTTATACACACAGCTGGTACAAGGCAGCTATGCCTTTGCAAAACCACATCAAACAATTCTCTCTCATTTGTCTGGACTGGATTTGGCTGAACATCCCTTGTGCAATTTGCACAGAGAAAATCTCAGTTTACAGCACTCCGAGATGAGAAGTGCTGCTGTGTCACAAGGAACCTTCATCCAAACTAAAGCCACACCACAAAGAGGAAAAGAGATAGGAACATAAGAGCCATTTGCTTTCATACCCATACACATTTAAAACAGAAGAGGATGACCAAAATATCTTTCTTGATGTTCTGCTTAGCAATATTAGAGCCACCATTTTAAAGCAGCAGGACATCTGAGTTCAGCTTTAAATTACCTTGCTTTAAAAAATTATATAAGCAAAAATAAGCAGTAAGGTGAAGAGACTGAGGTTTTGCAAACTGACCTAAGAGTGCAACACCATAATTTTCTGACACTAACAATAAAACTTTGTTTTACAAACACTTCTACTGTAATGAATCCTAAAGATTGCTTTTATATATATACATATATGTATATGAGAAAAAAAAAACTATATATAGTGTACTGAAAAAAATAGCTTCTGTTCTCTCCAAGGGCAGACACACCATCTGCTCTGTTATATACCTACAGTAAATCTGCACAAACACAAGCTCAAGCCATCCAGTCAATAAATAATTTAATGAGGTTACAGTTCTGCAAGAAAACATGACAGCGCCCCTTCCCAGCCTCACCCCGCAGGCATGGCAGAAAAACGCACACGAGCCAAACCACAAACCACAGCTGCACCTAAAGGCCACTGGAATGCACAGATCTTCACAGAAGATATTGCTTCAGGCCCAGACACTTCTACACTGTTAATACTTGCCTCCATGTGAAAAAACATGCAGCCTCTGCCATCAGCCTCCCAGTTACACTTCAGCCAGATCATGCTTCAGGGACCATGCATTTGGGGGGGGGCGGGGAGAGAGCCCAGACCCACATGTACCAAAACTTCATGGGGATGGTGAAATGAAGAGGAAGGCTGCAGCAAAGCTCTCTGCTGCAAGTCTTGAAGATGACTCCCATGAAATGAAGCCAACTGTCAGAATGGAAGTCGCTTCAATTGCTCGTATGTGATAAAAAACTGAAGGGAATGTCAAGGAATTGAGCCAAATACATAAGGCAGCTGTCCCGGGCCTCTCGACATGACTGACCCACGCCTGGCAAGGTAAGGCAGGTACAGCATCAGCACATTACAGCTGAAGGCCAGCGTGGGGAAGCCCTTCTTCCAGGCAGAACAAACTGATTGGCATAGGTAGGACAGAGAGCTGTGGGGCAAGAGTGACCAGGAGAGGGAAGAGACTGACCCAGAAGTCCAGGCTTGCCTAGACCAGAGAAAGGGAGGTGGCTCTCTAACCCCAGACTGGGACTTCCCTAAAATAAATCATGCACACAATTTCAGAGGGAAAGGAGGATCTAGTACAGCAACAAAGAGCAGGTCAGCACCCATCTGAGAGTGGCAGAACGTCCCCCAGGCTTCCCGCACAAAACAGGAGTTGACCCAGAAAGTGCAGCACCTCCAGGAGTTTGAGCTGAAGGGAAAGTCTCATGTCAAGCACGTGAGAGTATACACTCGACAGGGAACCACCCATGCTGCTGCACTGGAAGTCCCTGCACTGGCCACCTACGGAGCTGTTAGAAGCAGCAGACACAACCAGTGGCATTTTTTGGCACTTGAACCAGCAGCAGCCACATCACAGCTTATGTCTAAGCAGGACAGGGAGTCAGCTTTGGGCTGCCACAGGAAGACAAGGAGGTGCCCCCATCAAGGTGTCTGCTCTGCACTTCCCTTTACAGCTTGGTTTTTCCCCTGGCTGTCCACAGCCATGACCTCCCAGCAGCACACTGAAGGATACAATGATGTTCCAGGGACCGAGCCGAAGCCAGTTGGGCCAGAAACCTTTATAGAGTGCAAAGAAGCCCTCACTCTTCCATGTCTGAAAGGAGAGAAGAGACAGATCAGTTATGAGACACACCAGGGCCATGCTCTGCCCATCTCCCTAACACCATGTGTGATATAATGGACCTTTACAGCTGCTGCAAGAAGCAGACAGATCAGTGGAGAAACAGTTAAGTTGTCTGAAGTGTCACTTGCAGTAAAACAACCTAATCAAACTGCATCACTGACAAAGTTTTGTCCCCAAATTTGGGAGGGTGCTCGAGCAACTTCAGGAAAGTGACTCCAGGCCCTTCCTCTGGTTTGTCTGAAACACTCACCAACAAGCACGCTCTGTTACTGTAGAATCAAACTGCCCATACCAGTAGCGTGTGGTGCTAGAATCTGGCCAGCCTCCCAAAGACAGGAATGTGCCCACCTCTCTCGCCTCCTTACCTTCACAAGGCCATCCAGGGTGCCCTTATAGAGCTCCGTGCTGCCCACTATTGCCCGCTGGTTCATCATCCGTGTCCGCACCACGTCCACAGGGTTGGAGGCAATGGCCCCAGCCAGCCCACATGTAAAACTGGAACTACATACACACCAAAACAGGAGGGGAACAGCTCTGAACACGGCCATTCCAGCTCAGACAGGCCTTTGCATAAGCACAATACAGTATCTTTCACTGGATTTTCTGAAAGGTAATAAACATCAGCTGCACTACCTGTTCCCACCCAGAAAACAGGCAGAGGCAGGAAACACACCACCTCAGGACCCCAGAGAGCTAGGGGAAGGGAAAATATGTCTAATCAAGACCCTTGTCAGAGCCCATTGCTGGGTCTCCGCAGGGGCAGCCTGCAGTCCAGCAAGCGTCTCTGGGTGCTGTCACGGTGACACAGACCTGAAGGCAGCCTCTTGGAAGTGCACATCCTTCTGACCAGAGCAAACATTTCTTCAGGGCAGGGAAGGAGGGAGGAAGACCAAAGGCAGCAAGAGGGAGCATGCAGCTGCTAGTCTCCTCCCTCCACGTATGGTCTAGTGCTTGTTACCTTCAGCCCACAGCAGGTAAACCCAACAGAAGCACTGCAGCACCTCCAGCTAAAGTGTCTGCCAGAAGAACAGGAAAATGTAGGTGAAAAAGACTTTGGGAAGTCTCTAACCCAGGCCCTGCTCAGAGCAGGCTGACTTCTAAACTTGGTCAGATTGCTCAGGGACTCGTCAGCTTTGCAGGTCTCTGTTCACCTCACAAAGCTCTTAGAGCAATGGCTGCAAGCTGACAGTGCCTGTACTGAGGAGGAGCTAGGACGGGAGCAGCTCTTTCAACTACCTGCCACAGGCAGTCACACAGCTGGAACTCCTGCCTCGTTCATACTAGGGCACAGACATGGAGCAACAACATTTATGGTCATCAGCAAGCTGACATTTCATGCCACCAAGATTTCTGCCAGGTTCCTTCTCCAGGGAGGTCTCTCTGGATATACTTGCTGGCCATTCTGAGCTGCTCCAGTCAACACGGCAGATCCCTCAGAAGTACCGAGTCTGTTCTCTGCAGCTCCAGAGCACTTGCTCTATAAACAGGTCTCACCCCAAATCCCACCTTGCTCCTCTACTTCACACGCCCCGCCAAGCCTGAAGAGTGCAGCAGCTGCAGCAAATACTCACACGAAATGGGCAAAGATAGTGTCACCCATCAGGCCTGACAGAATTAAGTGCTTCTTGGTGATGTCGTAGACTGGCAGTTCCACCCCGACCACGATGGCAGCTCTCTGAGCTGTTGGGACCACACCCTGCAGAGCACAAATATCAGTCACAAGCACAAGCTGCAGCCTGGGGATTGCAGCTAGTATAACATTTCCTCCCATCTTCCTTTAGAGAGCCTTTTGCTGACAATCCTCCTTGCCTTATCTTACAGCCATATCTCTTCAGGTAGAGCTCACTGTCTCCCAGCTGTACTCCAAAGCTAAGGAGGATTCTTCCACCCTGGCAGGGTTACTCCAGCTACATTAACTACACACTTGCTTCTCTCCTCCCAGCCACTAGCACACAGGAATCAGGCAATAATCCACTCATCTTCCCCCACTGAACTGTAACCAACAATTTCAATACCCGAGAAGATTCTTCACCACAAGAGCAGCAGCTGTTTAAGGAGCTAGGTGGGGTTCCTCCTAGCTACACAACAGCAGAAGGAGCCTGCTCTGTTAAGGTTTTTGACTTAAGGAGATTTTCATGTATTAAAAGAGTTGCTCCTAGTAGGACATCAATCTGGGAACTGCCAAGACAATTACTGGAACAACTATGAGCTCAGGTACGAGAAACCAGGAACATCCTGTCCGAGAAATAGCCCAGCAAGCCCCTCATCAGGAACCAGATAAAACTACGTGCAAATTTTTACTGTCTTGCAGAACAAGAACACAGCAGCAATGTGAAGCTGGGCCATTTCACAGGAACTGTAACACCATCCAAGTAATTCAGGTAGACCCACAGTGTCATAAGAGCTCCCCGGTCACCAGGACTGGGACTGACCCTCCAGTGTGGCCAAATTATGAGCCAGCCCATCAGAACAATCAGCTTTCTCACCACACAAAACCAAAACAACTGTAAAAAGTAAAAGTACTTTTCAAGTTTATGGCTCCTGCTGTCTCCATCCTGCTGTGCTAATAAAGCGCCTGACAGGCTCCTCCTGGGTGCCTGCCTAACCCAGTTCTGGCACAGCCAGCTCAAACATCCCCACATGACGAAATTCAGAACTGGTGAGCATGAACATCTTTGCCTCAACGTCAGGGAAGTCTGGAGGGAGGAGACAGTGGCTGTCCCAGACCAGAGAGCAGCAAGACTAGCTCAATCACTAGAATCTACCTCGACTGACCAGTCTCTGCACCGTGTCCTGTCTCCAGCACACATCAGCAACACTGAGGGTTTAATTTCTTTTCTAGTCTCTCTTCCCTTCATGTGTCTTTGTCTAGAGAGCAGAAATAATCTCAAAGTAAATATGCTGTCAACGCTGGCAGTTGATTGACTCCTCCTCCTCTTCCCACACAGGACACTGCAACAGCTTTCTTTCAAAGCATTGGGATTCTGTAGTTCTCCTGACCTCGCGACTCAGCAGACTGCTGGATTACTGAGCATATGGAAGACTTGGAAAGACAGAGAGGTTCTCTAATAAAAACCAAAGAATCACTGCTAAAATCCAAACAGTAAAGCTTGTGCACTGGCAACTCATCTGTCTTCAAGCCCAAGAGCCTTACATCACCAGCTTCCCCAAAAGCCACCACTCTGTCCTACTCTTTTTATGCTCAGAGGGCAAGTTTCAAGGGGTCTAAGACTGGGTAGGTGGGGGATACAGAGCAAATTTGTTCCTTTGGAACTTCAGAAAGTTACTGCAGGCCATTAGTGTCTCTTGAGTTACTTGAAAGAATTCATCTTCCTTCACGTGAGGAGGTGCTCAGCCACTCACACTCAGGTCAGTAAACTGCACTGCTCACTGCGTGCAGGGTCACTGCCAATTGAGTCCAAGATATGCCAGGCTGAGCATCCTTCCTAAGGCAGACCACAGAGTGGATCCAGCCCCAATGCTGGTCTGTTCAAGGGACACTCACATATTTGAAACCTGATGCACACCAGCTTCAGTCCTGGAAACCAGGTCTGCCTGGCCCAGTGCTGATGCTACCATAGCACAGATCCAATCTCCACCACAGACGTGCTTCTGTCTGTGCAGTAACCAGAAGCAGAACTTTGCTACTACCCTTGATTCACAGTTCTCTTCCAGAGCTGCACCTGGGTATGGAAAACATGTTGAGGAAGCTGTTAGTTCTATTAATTGGGGGATTCCAGCAGCTGGTGCTCACCCTCCAGAGGCCTCGGGTACCCTCCTGCTGGTAGATGTCGATGAAGCTGCCAATCATGCCACCCTGGAATAAACTGCCTTGAGCTTGCATTCGAATCTGAAAAAAATGTGAGAGTTGGTGGGACAACATCAGCGTCTGCCTGGGAGGGCAGATACCAGCTCAGTGACGTCCTGGTAGAAAAAACAACAGAGCAGCTCAGAGCAGACACCACTATCCACACACCCTCTCCCTGCAAACCGTGCAGCAAATGGTGACAGCAGGCAAGGAGCAGGGATAGCGACAGGGTGGAAGCACAGTGCAAAACTCAGACAAGACAGAGAAAGTGACAGGCAAGGTCTTCCCGCTCTGAAAGCAGTCTGAGGAGGTTGATCTGCACAGGGAGAAGCGTAGAGAAGTTCTCCAGGCTCTCTTTGCTCGGAGCAGAGCTACCTTGACCCCAATAACCTCACATCAGGGAATGGAGGGGACCAGACAGTCCCCCCTGGACTCTGGTCACTCCACCTAGGTTGGACTTTGCGGCAGTGTCAGCAAAGCTCAGCACAGGAACCAAAGGGAAAGGAGCTGAGAAGTCTGATGAATAGCTGGCTACCACCCCACGCGTCTTACCCAGTTAAAATAACACAGCCTCCACCCCTTGCCATAACAGATGTAATGATCTTTAAGAGCTGCATTTTTAAAAAATCTGTTTATTGCTCTGGGCTTCTGTTCCCATTCATAAAAAACTCAAATTAGCAGAACTGCTGTCAGCAGCAGCTCAGATAGCACCTCACTGCAGCTGGGAGAGATGCATCTTCACTGGAAAGCAGCAGCTAAAAGCATGTCTCAAACCACAGCCAGGCAGGAGCTGTCTCTGGCCAGGTACACTTCTTACCTTCAGCACATCTGTTGGATTGGCAATTGCAGAGGAGATCACCCCTGAAACCACTCCGCAGATTACATTGATTAGCAACGTTTCATCTGCAACCAAGAAAAGAGAGTCAGATTCTAAAGATCTAAAGAGAAGGTGCACAGATGGTACCGAACAAGCAAGAAACTCTGGGAAGAGCAGAGAAGCTCAGTTCATAAATCACATGGTGAAGTTACACGAGCAGAGGCTGGCCAGCTACATTCAGCTCATGGCAGATCTGTCCCCACACCTGCCAGAGACAGAAAGCAGCAGCCGAAACACTAAGCAACACGCTCTCATAGAAAAACGGATCTTACTGATGAGTCTAGCTGATCAGACAAGGAAAAGACTGTGATACATGAAAATTTTGAACAATTATCTGAGATTTCTGTGTCCAGTGATGCATTTCTTATGATGGAGACAAGCTAAGACAGAAGAAGACAGATAGGGACAACCCAACACTTCTCAAGGCAACCTGATAGCAATTAATTTTGATCTGGAGCCCCAGCTGCCCACACTCAGAATACGCAGCCACCTTGAGAAAACAGAGAATAGGTGACCCAGGCAGAGAAAGTTAGATGCAATTAGTTCCAAGGAGTGGGCAGAATAATCCAAGACTTCCAGGCCCAGTATTAGGGTGATGGTTATGTTGGGAAAACGCACAGCCCTTTGCTGGTACTGACCACAGCACTTCTCAGAGGAGACCAGGCCACTGGCTGCCCCAGGCCTGTAGAGAGACAAACATTCAGACAACAGTACTCACAACTGGAAACACTGCAACAGCCAGCGAGGAGAGACGTGCGGCCCAGCATACACACACAGAGCCATGCACAGGGACAGGTGTTACTGGAGAACAGAGCAAACCCTGGAAAGAAGCTCTAGCACACTGCACTTCCCAGTCCTCTTGCTGGCCTGTTGACCGGCCCCGACCACCCATCTCACCTTCCCCGATCAGAATGGCATTACAACATTCACTTGTGTCACTCCAGGGTTTAAAACCATGCGTGCAGTGAACACATACCAGAACTTCTGCTGCTCCATCTCTAGGCAGGAGCCGCAGAGGCCCTCATTACCAGAGGTGCACAGGTCAAGAGCATTTTCAGTGTCCCATCTCTGCAGCTGGAGCCAAAGCTGAAGAGCCGGACAGTACAATTTCACAGAACCATAAAATCTATGAAATTGTGATTTCTATCTAGATCTGCTGCATTCAGGCACAAGGACAGGAGAGACTCACTATCAGAGCTTTCAACACATGTACTACATCTGACATACAGATGGGATGTAATGTCTTCCCCGAGATTAATCAGAAAGGAAAGATGATCCTGGGGCAATGATTTTTTTTTTTTTTTTTGGCTCTGACATTGCAAAACAGAGATAAAGGCTGGGGAAAGGAAAGACCTGGCTGGACAGGGAAGTGTCTGGTCAAGCAGAGTGAGATTCATATCTGTACTGAAACCTATCCTTGCTATCACTATACAAACAAAACCACAGCGTGAAGTAACAAGAACTCTGTTTCTGTGGGAATCTGTAACTGGGAAGGACAGAGAAAGGAATGAGCCAAACTGCAGAGCACAGAGAGGATGAGATTTCACACTACACCTCTGGCAAGACGAGAGGTGCCTGTACTGATGCGTTTACTGACACTGACCTTCCAGGCGATCTACAAACAGCCGCTTCAAACTCTGGTAAATGCCAATCTTTATGGTGCCATACGATGCCTGCCTCAGCAACGCAGGGGCAATCCTGAGCGGGGGGAACAAATGAAACTGTTGAAGCCTGCCAGGGTGGTGGTCCTCCTCGCAGGCCCACCACAAGTCGCTCCTCACCAACCCCCAAACTGCAAAGGGCACAGCTTGGGCCTGGCACCCCCCTGCCATGGCTCAGACACTGCCAAGAAGTGCAGCTCTGCCACGTACCCAGGATATCTACCCCAAGTGCCTGAGAAGCACCTTGGATTGTCCCCATGAACCCTCCAGTGTGGGAGGCTGGCACCCATGTAGCCCTGGGTCTTGCCATGCAAGTCAAGAGAACTACAGAATGGCTTGGGGTGGAAGAGACCTTAAAGACCACCTAGTTCCACCCCCCTGCCATGGGCAGGGACACCTTCCACCAGCCCAGGTTGCTCCAAGCCCCGTCCAACCTGGCCTTGAACCCTGCCAGGGAGGGGGCAGCCACAGCTTCTCTGGGCAGCCTGTGCCAGTGTCTCACCACCCTCACAGGGAAGAATTTCTTTCTTACGTCTAATCTAAATGTACCCTCTTTCACAGAATCATCTAGGTTGGAAAAAACCTTGAAGATCATATAGTCCAATCATTCGGTGTAAAATCGTTCCCACTCGTCCTATCCCCACAGCCCCTGATCAGGAGTCGCTCCCCACCTTTCCTGCAGCCCCTTTCAGCCCTGGGAGGCCGCTCTAAGCTCTCCCCGGAGCCTTCTCTTCTCCAGCTGAACCCCCCCAACTCTCTCAGCCTGCCCTCACAGGGGAGGTGCTCCAGCCCCCCGGGCATCTTCGTGGCCTCCTTTCGACAGGAGCGGGGCTCGAGCAGGTCCGTGTCCTTCTGACGTTGGGGGCCCCAGGGGTGGACACAGCACTGCAGGGGGGGGCTCACAAAATCCTACCCGTCCTCACTCCCCCTCCTCGGGAAAAACGGGAGTCGCCAGGCTGCTCAGCAGCGCCGCTGCTCCGGCCCCTACTCTCCCCGCGGGGCTCCGGCCCGGCTGCGATCCCGGGGCTCGCCGCGGCACGGTTTGGGGGTTAGGGG